TTTTGGCATAATTTTAGATTTACAGAAAAGTTGTAAGACAGTAAAGTGTTCCCCTATAACCATCACTCAATCACTCATCTGCCCTTAATTTTAACATCTTGTGTTACCATAGTACCTTTTTTTTTTTGAGACAGAGAGACAAAGTTTTGCTCTGGTTGCCAAGGCTGGAGAGAAATGGTGCAGTCTTGGCTCACTGCAACCTCCACCTCCCTGGTTCAAGCAATTCTCTTGCCTCAGCCTCCCAAGTAGCTGGGATTACAGGTGTCTGCTTCAACACCCAGCTAATTTTTGTATTTGTTTTAGAGATAGGTTTTCACTGTGTTGGCCAGTCTGGTCTTGAACTCCTGACCTCAGGTGATCTGCTCGCCTCGGCCTCCCAAAGTGTTGGGATTACAGGAGTGAGCCATCGTGCCCAGCCACCATAGCACATTTTTTAAAAAATCATGAAATTAACATTACTAAAAAACTATTAACCAAATGCCAGACTTTATTTGGATTTCCCCAATTTTTGTACCAATGTCCTTTTTCTGTTCTAGCATCCCTTTTGGGGATACCACATTGCATTTAGTTGCCACGTCATCTTAGTCTCCTCTGGTCTGTGACTGTCTCAGACTCGCTTTGTTTTTCATGACCTTGGCAGTTTTGAAGAGTACTGGTCAGGTATTTTGCAGAATGACCCTCAATTTGGGTTTGTCTGATGTTTTTCTCAACAGTTAATTGCTCAGTTAATTTTCTATTCATTTTCACTCATTTGTAGACTAGAATTTTGAGTTTTAGAAAGAGTATCGTGGAGTGAGATGTCCTTCTCATTACATTATATAAGAGGGGACATGATATTGTGACTTATTGCTGGTGATGTAAATCTTGATCACTTATTAAAGATTGTGTCTGCCAAGTTTCTCCACTATAAAGTTGCTATCTTTTTGTTTCTCATGCTCTGTTTTTTGGAAGCAAATCCATACCATATTTCTCCAGGGGGAGAGGAATTATGTAACCCTCGCTGGAGGAGAAAGTATCAACATATAGTATTTGGAATTCTTCTGCAAAAAAGATTAGTCTCTTCTTCCCTAGTTATTTATCTGTTCAATCAATTATTATCATCAGTGTGGACTCGTGGATACTGATTTTATTCTTTGGGCTATAATCCAATACTATCATTACTCATTTTGTTGCCATTTATATATTTAGCCTGCATTTTTTTTCAGAAAATAAAGTCTAAAACTTTCTCATCAATCATATTAGGTGGAAATTATTTTATTTATCTTAAATGCATATCTTCCCAGCTTCCACGGTTGTCCCATAGTTCTGGGATTGTGAGATTTGCTCCAGGGCTGCCACACTGCAGAACCCCAGGGGGTGCTGATCATAATGCAAATGATGCATGGTGCCCCCTGCTGTTGTGCAACATGGAAAGACAGGCCAACGCTGTTTTGCATGATTTTATACAATTTCACCAAATACCCTCCTTTCAACTTTCATTGTTTCAGATTAAGAAGAGTCCCACTTTTTCTTTACCACAACATTATAGACGTAAGCTCTATTCATAGAGACATAAATTCTCAATCTTGAAAATTCAAATTTCAGCCTTTATTTGCCACATAGATCAACTTTAGTCTTGCTATTGAGACCCTGATGTGTGGGTGTCTTCTTCTAGAACGTTGCTTAAATGAAGTTGCAGTTAGCAGGTCTTTATCCATCAGTTATTGGAGGAGCTGTTGCTGGTGACTGGAGTGGCGTAGAGGATGTTGGAGGGAGGAATGGTGAGGAGGGGCCAGATATCAACAGATGCAGTCCATAAGACTGGCTTTTAGGTTGCAATATGCAGTGTGTACAAATGGAAGTTGATCTCTTATTATTTGAATTATTCTTCTCTGATTCTTCTCCAAGTTTGCTATATTTTTCTTGAACTGTGTAGAACTGTACACAGGACGCATAGAAATACCTAATGGTTTTGAGGACATTTCTACTTTCTCATCAACCATCTTTATGTGCTCCAAAATGTCTGCATATGAAGTCATCTGATCTGTGGGATTTGTTTTTTTTTTTTTTTTTTTTTTTGAGACAGGGTCTAGCTCTGTTGCTCCAGCGGCCAGATCACAGCTCACTGCAGCCTTAAATTCCTGGGCTCAAGCAATCCTCTTACCTCAGCCTGGATCTGCTGTTTTGAAGGAATAATATACAGTTACTCTCAGATCCATCTCTTGTGCCAAGGCCTATCTTAGGTGCCATCACCCCCAAGGGGCCTCTCGAGACCTCTCTTTCAGCTTAGGGCCCCCTTGAGCTCCCTGACACACTATCACAGCACATGCTGTCCTATTGATCTTCCCCACTGGGCTGTGAGATCTGGGGGGCAGGGATCTCAGTACCTTGTATGATGACTGGAACATACTGGGTGGTTTTACATATGAATGAAGAGTCAATGGTTCATAGTCCATCAAGATTTGCCCACAGTGAAATGCATCCACTACATTGTCCCCAGCTGATAAAAACAACCCTAAAGTTTCTAAGCATTTACTACTCATAAGAACTCAGTGTTATGTGGATACTTGGTGATTTTCCTGTCCACTTTCTCTTCCAGGTAATTTTAAACCATGTTGTATAATTATAAACCAAGCAGAAGTCTGGGGGGGTTCCACAACCAAGAATTCATATGGCAATGTATCAGCTTAACCTAATCTTTTGTTTGCTGCTCTGAATAATGATTATTAGTAAATAATTCCATAGTAAATCATTCTTATTTTAGAAGACATCTGTTCCCCTTTAATAGGTCAGCCCTCCCCAAAGAAGAAAGGATTGGCTATAAGAGCCCTGTATTATCTCCCCTTCCCGTCATCCATCACCCTTCAGATGAGAAGTAGGCAATTCTATTTAAAATAAAAAAGAAAGGTTTCTGTTTAATAGTATGTGTGTGATTAAAAAATATATAGATGCATATATGTATTATTTTTAATATAAAAAATTTAAAAAATTTAAGTGTGTGTCATAAAAAATATGCATACGAATATATATTTTATTTTTTAGAGTGGTTTAAATTTAACAACAAACTTGAACAGACAGTATGGAGATTTCCTATATACTCTTTGCCCCCACATGCGCAGCCTCCCCCACTATCATTATACCACCAAAATGGTACATACATGAATCTACATTGGCACGTCCTTATCAGCCAAACTCCATAGTTTACATTAGGGTTTGCTCTTGGTGCTGTACATTCTGTGGGTTCATTGTATTATGACAAGTACCCACCATTGATATGGTTTGGATGTTCTGTTCCCTCCAAATCTCATGTTGAAATGTGGCCACCAGTGTTGGAGGTGGGCCTAGTGGGAGGTGTTTCGATCATGGGAGTGGATCCCTCATGAATTGTTTGGTGCTGTCCTCATGGTAATGAGTGAGTTCTCATTCTATGAGTTCAGGCAAGATCTGGTTATTTAAAACAGTTCTCCTGCCCCTGTGCTTGCCATGTGATACGCTGGCTCCATTCACCTTCTGCCATGATTGGAAACTTCCTGGGGCCCCCTCCGGGAGTAAATGCCAGCATCGTGTGTCCTGTACAGACAGTAGAACCAGGAGCCAAAATACTCCTGTTTTCTTTATAAATTACCCAGTCTCAGATACTTCTTTATAGCAATGCAAACTGACTAATACAGATGGTGCTGTACATCTGTGGGTCTAGACAAATGTATAATGACATGTATCCACCATTTATGGTATCGTACAGAGTCTTTTCACTGCCCTAAAAATCCTCTGTGCTCTGCTCATTCATCCCTTCCTCCTCACTAATCCCTGGCAACTGCTGATCGTTTTACTATTTCCATAGTTTTTGCTTTTCCAGAATGTCATATAGTTGGAATTGTATAGTATGTAGCCTTTTCAGATCAACTTCTTCCACTTAGTAATATGCATTTATGTTTCTTCTATGTCTTTTCATGGCTTGATCACTCTTTTTCTTAGTGCTGAATAACATTCATTGACTGGATACACCACAAAAGAAAACTTTCTGATAAAGCAGGACACACTTATAGTGAAGTACACAAATCATTAGAGCACAGCTGGACACATTTTCATAAAATGGACACTCCTGTGTAGCCAGCGCCCATATCTAGAAGCAAATCATTTCAGTACCACAGAAGTCCCCTGGTGCCCTGTTCCAGTCAATGCTCTCAAAGGGTAACCAGTGTCCTGTTCTCTAACATCATAGATTAGTTTTCCCTGTATAAAGACAGTTCAGAAGTGGACATTGGAAACATTTCTTTTGATGAGAAACCTAGAAGACAACTAGCAATTTCCTGCTAGAATCTGGCATAAATCTAAATTAAAGAGAAAACCTGGGAGATAGAATAGTATTTCTTCTTTATTTTCAGAAAGGACATTTACTAGTTCCCTCCTAGAGGTGAAGGATGCATTTAAAGTGCTTGTTTCCTCTCTGGACTATATGGTCAAGCTTGCACAATACCAGAATGGGCTGTCCACAAGTGACAAGTCTAAGCATATCATTTATTTGACATTGCCTAGGCCAGAGAGCAGTTGTTTCTTTGAATGCAGCATTTAAAATAAAACACAATGAGATGGAATGTGGATTGTGTAGCTATTCTGTGAATCAGTTTGCTCTCAGGATTCAAGACATATTTAACCTGTGTTAAGAGCAGACCTACCAGGGAACACTGTGGATCTCTATCCTCAAACCATACTACTTGGGAGCTGCAATATTAGTTAATGTCCTTAAGGCAGAAAAAAAAAAAAAAAAAAAAGGGTGAAGGTTTTAACAGTGGACCATAAAATGTTGAAATACACACTCACAAACACACACACACACACACACATATGCCTGCATATGCATATTCACACACAAAACACATATATAGACAAAAATAACCCATAAACTTTCAAGATAGAATGGGAAAAAACCAACAGATACTTCAGTGGACAATCACTGTTATGAGAGGGTGGGCTGCAGTTTTAAAGAGTCATGCGATTTTGAAGGGTGTAAGGTGACTTACCATGAAGGGTCAGCTGACGTTCAGGTTGAGGTTTGATTTATTGGAGAGTCAACACACTTGTCTTTTGACTGTTGTCAGCAAAGACAGACAGAGGCCACCGAGAGTCCCACAGGAAGCCCTGAGCATCTGCAACATCAGCCCAGGAAGGAGTAAGCACAGCCCAACCTCTGCTTAAGAAGCAGGAAAGAGCAGGATCTAAATGGAGAAGATCAAATACTTAACACACTCTATTATATAACACAGCTTCCTAAAATAGGAAACGAAAACATTTAGCGAATAATAACAGCTATGACAGCAGCTTTTATTAAGTAGTTATTATATGACAGTTATTATATTAAGTGTTTATAAACATCCTGTAATTTAATCCCTACAACAATTCTATGAGGTAGGTGTTATTTATTACTATCATTATCTTTTTATAGGTAAGGCAACTAAAGATTTTAAAAGGAGAGGAACTTGCCCAAGATTGCACACCTTGGAAGTTACAGAGCCTGCTTTGTCTGCCCTCTTAGATACTATGCAAGTCACAGGCCAATAAATGCATTATGTTACTATGACAGTGGGAATGCTGGATGATTAAAAGACTTGTTCAAGACAAAGAAGGCACCCATGGCAGAGCTAAAATAAGAATAATTTGCTCTTTAACAGTAAAGTGATTCTTTGTCTTAATCACCTGATCCTAATGAAATATGACTGATGATTTAATGCAGACTAAAAACCAAAGCTTGAATTGATTTGTTGACATGGACAAAAGTAGAATTGCCTGCAAATATTCCCACAGCAGTGATAAGAGCCACCCTTACGAAAGAAATGAAATATACATGAAGGCTGCAGGTGGCAACCCCACTCTCCCCACAGAGCATACCTTTCCTCCACAGGCCTTGCTTACTCCACTTCCCTTCCCCCGAGGCCCAGAGTTCTCATATTCTTTCCCCTTCCCTCCCATTAACCCCTGGACTTGATGACATAAAACAATTCATCATAGAAAACATAAAGTAGCGATTATTATCCCAAGTACAACCAAGAGGATACTATTCAATGCAAACTGAGGATTCAAAATTGCTTTGAACTTGGTTAATCTTTTGGTGTTTGATAATAAAACAAGTCTAAGAAGACACTTTGTTTTGCATAATTTTGTTCATGTGTTTTCAAAATATGTTAATGCACCCAACACTCACATTTTAATTTCTAAGTACTCACACCAGTCTCCAATAAAAGAAACCAGGGCTCCTTGGTGAAATGGCTGATTTTAGAGCTGGGTCAAAGAAAATACAAGATGAGCTTAGAGCATGATCTAGTGCCAGAAAATGAGGAAGTGTTACCAAAAAAATGGTAGAGTATGTCATAGCAGGCAACTGGAAAGAGCTCCTAATGGCCAAAGCTGGAGCAATTTGAGTAACAAAAGAAATAATATTGTATTGGATTACAATCCAAAACATAAAATAAATACACATGTCATATTGATCTAAATAATGATCTCATGAATAAATAGGGGAAAAGAGACAAATCATCTCTATAGAAATTGCCAAATAATATATGCTGATACAACCCCTTCTAAAAGTAGTAAGCTAGTCTTAGGTAACTTGCTTTCAAAGAATACAGTTTGGGAAATGGGAAGATAGTAACTTTTCAACACAAAAGCATGGCAAATACTACCTTACCCAATTGATCAATTTAAATTCACCAATTTGATTAAATTGATCAATTTAAATTCAGTGATAATTCATGTTGATACCACGTACTTCCTGATCTTAAAAACCACTTCACTCTGTGATATTCTTTCCTTTCCTATTTTTTTTTTTTTTTTTTTAATATGAAGCAGTCTTCTGTTGCCAGGCTGGAGTGCAATGGCACCATCTCAGCTCCCTGCAACCTTCGCTTCCCAGGTTCAAGCAATTCTCCTGCCTCAGACTCCCAAGTAGCTGGGACTACAGGCACGCACCACCATGCCCAGATAATTTTTGTATTGTTAGTAGAGACAGGGTTTCACCATGTTGGCCAGGATGGTCTGAATCTTTTGACTTCGTGATCTGCCCTTCTTGGCCTCCCAAATTGCTGGGATTACAGGAGTGAGCCACTGTGCCTGGCCTGTGATAGTCTTTCCAAAAACTCACAGACCTGATTGAATCATTAGAAAAACATCAAACAAACCCAAATTGGTATACATTCTACAAAAACACATGACCTGTCAATATCGTGAAAACAAAGGATGACTAGGAAACTCACAGACCAGAGAAATCATGATGCCCAACCGCAACGTGGCATCCCAAAACTGGTGAAATCCAAATAAAGCTGAGAGTTTAACTCATGGCAATGAAACAACTTAGTTTTAACAAGTATACTATATTTATATAAGAAGTTAAAATTAGAAGAAATTGAAACTAGGTGATATTAATAACTTAGTGAAAACTCGTATGGACAAAACAATTAACATAGATAGAAAAAATAAAACAGATGAGAAACACAAGGGGTTCCAGGTTGCTTCAAACCGAGGACTTGTTCCAGGTATTAATGATGTGTCCCGGAAGGAAAATCTGTTCTGTTTTAAATACATAGGGAAAGCTTGGTCACTTGGGATAGTCATGAAATTTTAAGAAGAACACTTAACAAATGTGTTAAAATTGTTAATCAGTTAAGGGCAACCTACAGACCTCTAGAATTTTTTTCTCAGGTGAGGAGATGAGCAAGGTCTGAGAAAACATATTGTCTCATATTGAGGCTCATTGGCAAAGAAAATTTCCCACTCACCTTACTGAGTCAGTGAAAACTTCAAGTGTTTTTGAATGAAAGCTTCAACCTGTGGATTGTATGCATGACTGAAAATGACTTTGCAAATTAGCATCTTTTGTCTATTCTTACAAGGCAATCTCACTTCAGTACTCCACCTGTAAGTCAAAGCAAACATGGAAATTCTAACCTGGAGCTGTAGGGTATACACCCCTAGGGAAGTGAGTTGGACTCTTTCCATGGTCTCAAACAGCTGGTTATGTACTCATCTGTCAGATTTGCTGAAAATGTGTTCAACCTTGTTAAGAAACCCTTGAAAGACCTGAGGACAGATCTTCATAATTATTTTCCTAGTCCAATGAGAGAGAAAGACAAACAACACGTTCCCCAGAACTTCATAGTCATTACCAAGTAATTTGATACCTTCCATACAAAAATAGACGCTGAAGATCACTTTGAATAGCTTCTTGAAACAAAAGTCACCTGGAAATATTTGACCAGCATAGAAAACATTCAACATTTATGGCTGCTAACATTTTTGTGTACCCTTCTCATGTTTTAAATTTCCGACGTAGGTAAAATCAATGAAGAATTCATATTGCCAGAATGCCTTGCAACTAGGGTGTACCTGATTGACTTGGCTTCAGCCAACTAGAACACCCATGAAAGGCTTGATTCAGAAGTAACCATCATGAAGAAGTGGCTAGGCAGGCGTATGGACCTTCTGTCAAGCACAAGGGCAAAAAATGTTGTTCTATCTGAAACAATAGTGTTCAGTGCTAACCATGACTATGGTTGCCCATCAGCAGTGCTCATGTTTCTCATGGGATGCCTTAGTGTAATTGGGCATTACAACTGTGCAGCCTCAAAATCTGGCTTTCTGATCCTAATGAACCTTCTGTGAGTTACTCAAAACCCTCCAATAGATTCCTTGTCTGCTTGAGGTAGCCGCATTGAATTCTGTTGTTTGCAGCTAAGAACCCCCATCTACACAATTAGTAGTAATTAATATTTTTCTTCTTTCTAATTATATACATGGGAGTTGAAACGTGCTTAACATAAAAGTAAAGGCTAGAGTTATCTTACTTGCTAAGAATCTTATTTTCACCTTAAACTAGTCATATGGAATCAAATATCCTTTATTGCTGCCAAATAGAAACAAGTTTACTCTACTTGATGATTAACTTAATTTTGGTACATATTTTTGCAAATCAATTTGATTATAGCTTACATTTCATTTATATTCATGTTTGAAATTAATTGTTCAGTGAACAACATTATTTTGTTTTCACGGAATTTATTTTGATTAACAGTGAATCATCATCGGAAAAATAATGAGTATAATAGCATATGTGGTACATAACATGGACAAAAATCGGGAAGGTGATACACAAAGGAAAAAAGTAGAGAAAAGAGTTCATAAATATTCCTAAAGGAGTCAGAGAAAAGTTTACAAAGATGAGAGCACGAGGCAACTACTGAGGCAAGGGTTTGCAGGATAGGCAAAGAAGAAGTGAATTCCAGACAGAGACCAGAAATGAGTAAACAAGAGGACTGGAACAACATGGTGTGCTGAAGAAAACTCTGATAGTGCAAAATGACTAGAGAGTGAGGTATTAGACAGAAGGAAAGGTCTGTTGAATAAGCGTAAAGATGCCGGGATGGGTCCTGAACATAAAGAGCCTCATATATCTTGCGTAAGATTTTAGAGTTTATGGAGGATAGGGAGCAACTGAAGAATTTTAAGTGCTGGAACACATGATTAGATTCACTTTTTAAAAACATAACATTTAAAGAGAGACCCTTTCCAGGAATATTTGAATTTTACTAGAGACCAAGCCCTATATAAAAAAAATAGTGCTCTGATGGTAGAATCTCAGGCATCGTTCAGAAATGAGAAGACTACTCCCAGATCGTAACATTGTACCTTGCATTAGGTTTACCTGTAAGACTGACTTTGTTGGAAACGAAAACTAGATATTACCTTAATGTGATCCTAAAGTAGCTTGAAACAATAGATACAATCTCCAGAAAATTAGCCCACATCAGGAGAATAATGGCCAAGTTGCCAATATTGAAAATGCTATCTACCTGTGGAAATGAGTGGTACGTCTGTAGCAGGGACCGTGGGTGACTTGGTTCTCTCTCTCATTGCCAACAGGTTCCTTCATAGTGTGATCTGAGGACAACCTATGTCTCATGAGGAGATTTCTCAAAATGTAAAGCAAAGCACTCTCTTCTTTTGCGCATCTCAAACTCAATGCCGTATTTTGGTTCTAAATTTTAACTTGGAGGTAATCATGTTTTCTAAGTGATGTAGTCTTTCAAGATTGAAAAGCAAACTATCCGTTTTGTCTCCAGTTTTATTCAAATCTTTATGATTTTTTATTAAATAAAGTTGGTATCATAATACTTTCACTATCGTGTGGGCAAGGACCCGAGCATGGCCAGAAGCATCCAGGCTGTGTGGCAA